AACCTTCAAGTGATCTCGTCAGACAGATGCATTGATTTCTTGTTATCCTCATAGAAGAAGATTATTGTTACACAGTTTGCTAAATAACGATGTTAATAGAAATATGACTGTCATTTAAACGGTCCATTAAACTATTTGGAACTCAGGCTTCACTCCCAGATAAACAAGTTTACACCAAAAGTCAGGGCAGTACCTTGAATTTGGGGACAGACAGCTCCAACTCCTTAGTTTTGGTCCATATTCGCCCTATTCTGGGATCCCTGACACAATCCACAGGAGCGATCCCCGAGTTCTGGGAGAACGAGGAGGAGGAAGAGGAGGAGAGAAAACACAGAAACAGCAATAACGAGACTTAAAATTTAAGACAAAAATAAAAGAAAAAATAAACCCCGAGAAAGCACGGGCTGTCTCAAGGGAAGGGGAAAGCGCACACACACATACACACACGTGTCAAATTGCAATACTGCTGGGAAATGCACACAGATTGGAAACACAGAAAAAAGCCGCAGGTTTGGGCTCCTGACAGTTGAATACACAGTGTCAGGTGGCTGTAACTTTGGTGGCTGTGCGTGTCCCCCACCAGACCCCCCCTCCCACACACATGTGCTACGGCGGGGATTACCACGACCCGGAGGGACCCCCAGCTCCCAAAACGCCGGTAAGACAGAGGCTGCCGGGGGGGAGACACGACACAATGGGGGAAACCCGGGAGCCCCCCACTCACAGGCATGCTGAAATGTTGCCCATCGTAACGGTAGAGTTTGTGCTGTCCTTTTTTCAGAGCCGGGTCAATAATCAACTTGTAACTTCTCCAATGGTGATTTCTTTTCTCGACAGAAGTGCTGGCTTGCGTGCTGTTCTCCATTCCGTTGATCCAACCTGAACGCGGGGGGGGGGGGGGGGGAAGAGAGAAAGGAGGAAGGCGAAAAGAAAGAAAAACCACACTAAAAACCATAAAGTTAAAAAAAATATTCAACAAAGACATCTTCGTTTCGGTGCGGTTTTTTTTTTTTTTTTTTTTTTTTTTTAACGAGCCGCCCGATCTACACACCCAGGCAGGGAGGAAATCCACCGCGAAGCGAGCCCCAAAATGGGGGAATTGCCAACCGGGTCCCCCCTTCCACCCCAACCAGACAAGAGGCAGAGAGGGAGGAGGAGGAAGAGAGGAGGAGGAAAGAAAAAAAAGAAGACGACGAAGAAAAAAAAAAAGACCCAATCTCACTTGAACTCTGCTTTTTGCCATGATCTTCAGGGTGCTTGGCTTTTTCCCCCGCCTTGGTCTCTCGGAAAGACATCGCGCTGGGCGGCCGATCGTCTCCGGGCGGCGAAAGGCGAGCTCCCGTCTCACATGGGGCCGGTTACCGGCGCGGGCTGCCCGCCAGGCTCCTGCCTCCCGTTTTCGCGAGCCACCACATATTGTGTGTGTGCTCGCTGCTGGCGGCGGCCGGGATCCCACAATACACCGCTGCGAGCGCCGCGAACGCCTAACCGCGCTCCGCCGCCTGCACATTCACGGCGGCCGCGCCGCGCAGCCCCCGGCCCGCGGCCGCCCGCCGCCGCCCCGCCGCCGCCGAGCGCCGCCGCATGGGCCGCCGCCGGGACGCGCGGGTTTTTTTTCCCTCCCCGCCGCGGGGTTAACGGCATGCGGGGGGGCGAGTGGAATCTGCCCGCTGCATTTACCTTAGAGCAAACTGTTTCTAAACAAGATGGACCTATAGGTGGGACAAGTTGGTAGTTTTTTTCGCTTTTTTTTTTTTTTTTGGGGCCGCGGCGGCCCCGGGAGCGGCCGCGCCATTGGCTGGGGCGGCGGCAGCGCGGCGGGGGCAGCCAATGGGAGCGCGGCTTCCATGGGGCTTGAGTTATTAGACGGCGGGGTAAAAGCACCGCGCGGCAGAAGCCAAGGAGAGGCCGCGGGACCCGCAGCCATTTTTCTGCAGTGGAGCGAAATGGCCAACTGGGCTTTTCCTTTGTTCCATAAAGGGGGATCCGCCATGTGAATCCACACCACGCGGGGTGGTGGGAGCCTCTAGCACGGTGCCAGACGACTCACTGAAGAAGGAGGATTTAAATATATATATATATATCTCAAACCCTTAACAAAAAAAAAAAAAAAAAGTAATGCGGATTTTTTTTTCACCCTTATGATTCGGGATCCATCTTTGTCTTGTGTAACTAGGTCATGGCACACCCTATGTCAGCAGTTAACAATTTCGAATGCCAACAAAAAAAGAGTAAATACATTCTTTTTATATTTTTTCGTTGTTTTGGGGGTTTTTAAGCTTTAAGCAGCTCTGATGACTGAACAATAAATGTGAGAGACTTCTCTCTTGTATTAAACACTTGATTCCTGGCCATTTTTATTAACTCCTTTGGTGCTTAAAAGGTAATGTTTTAAATATAGGTATAGGATTAGTGAATTCTGGCAAAAAATAAGGCAATTTTACTATGATAAGCTTTTTCTCTTTCTTTCCTCTTACGTTGTAAGTACCCAATCCATTCTGTCCTTGCTAAGTGTAGTTTTCATGTTAATGTTACTGAAGTGGTCCTTATTGCTAAGCCTTCATTTGCATGTCTTATGTTTTTGTCTGTTTAAACCAATTTATGCTTTTTGAAATATTTTACTTATAAAGCGAACTATCTGGCTAAGATATGCTTAAAAGTTGTTCAGCACCAGTAAATGTTAACTAGGTGTTTTCACACTGACATGTGCAGCCTAAAACTATTGAGGAGAATATTTTTAGTGTCTGCGTGCTCTGTGGAAAAACACTGAACGTCCTTTTTATGTACAGAGTAAATCTGCCACAGGAAGGTAGATTTAAGCCTCGAGCAGGAGTCCTCGCCTATGTACGGTCAGTCAACATAGCTGGACTTTTTCTATAGCTTTTTTTTCCCCCTTTTTTTCATCTTTTTTTGATGCTAGACCACTGCCACACAAAGATCCGTAACTTATCTTAACAAGATCCGCTTTGGCTCGCAAACTTACGAGAGAAGTGGTGATACAGATCATATATATACTTATAGCCATTATTTTAAAAAAGAGTAACAACTTCACCTTCAGAGCTGCATTCAACTATGGTGTGCGGGTAAGTAAACCCTTTTGCCCTTGCAGAGGAACAAATAGCCCAGGCCTGTAGCTAATGGTATTGTCCTGGGTGGAAAGATCCCAATGGTCGTCTGAAAGCGGTGGCGATCTTCTCCTCAGAAACATCTAACAGTGCCTCTGAAACGTCTGTTTTCAGGGAGGGATTTGATTTCTCTTTCTGCACAAAGCTCTTGGTCGTCCTCAGCCCTGGGTGGGTTTGGTTTTTTTTGGTGCGGAGAGACGCTGTGAATCCATTGCAGGCATTACGTGGCTGTTAAATTGAAAGCACAAAAAAAAAAAAAATCTGCCTGTGAACAGTAAGATGTTAGTGAGGCTGATGTTAAAAAAGGCGAGAAGGCGGTGGTGGTGGTAGGGATCCCTTACATGTTTTATCCGTCTAATTACAGAAGCTCGACAAAAAACAGGCAACAAAATGGGGGGGTGTTTTTCACGACGGTGAGTCTTAATGGCGGATGTCTCCCTAGAAAGCACTGTAAAATCCTTCATACCGAGAGGCAGTGACTTGGAGAGAGGGGGGAAAAAGGAGATCTGGAAGTATATCCAAAATGAGGGAGTTTCCTTCCAAGTGAGGGACCCTTTGCAGCCTGAGTGTTACAGATGGAGAGCCGTGACGCAGTTGATATTCACAGCGGTTGTGCTTTAGTGCCGCCACCCAGCCCACGAAAATGGCCTCCCCGCCGAATTCTGGTGGGTTTATTATGTGAAAGGCTGCGGCAGCACCGTGTCCCGGGCGGCGGGAGGAGCGGCCGGCGGCGGGCACGGCGCTCCCGGTCGTGCTCCGTGTTGTGTGAGGGCAGCCGCCATCATGGCTTCTCCTTCCCTTCGGCGCCGCGTTCTCCTCAGCGCTGGGCGGTGGCGCGGCGGGCTCTCCCCCCGCTGCCTCCCGGCGCTCCGCGTCCCGGGCGCTGCAGGGAAATGATGGGTTTGGGGTGTTGGGTTTTTTTTTGGGGGGGGGGTTTTGGGTTTTTTTTTTTTTCCTCTCCCCTTTCCCGCCCCCCTTCCCCCAGCGCTTTGTGAGGGGCTGTGGAAGGGCGAAGCTGGGCAGGGAGCGGCGGCTCTTTCTCCCCGCACACAACATGGCGGGAGCGCCCTGCGGCAGCGGGGCTGGCGGCGCTCCAGCCGGGCCGGGTGGGGGGGCGGCCGGCCGGGAGGACAAAGGCAGCTCGGATAATGCCGGCGCAGCCCCGGCTGCTATAAATAACAGCGCCCTTCCCCCGCTGCAGCCTCCTGCTCTCTTTACAAACAGCAAGCCATGGAAGTCGCCTAATGCAGAGGGGGGAAAAAGAGGAACAAACAACAACACCCCCTTCCCCACACGCATAAGGGGAAAAAAATAAAATGCACAAAAATATTAAACCCCCGGCACTGTGGGGGACGGGGGGAACCAGCAGCGCTGGCCGCGGGAGGGGCCGGGCGGCGCCGCCACCTCCCCGCCCGGAGCGGGTGCGCCGGGGGGAGCGCGGCCGCCGCTCCCCGTCACATGGCTCTTTGTTGTTTTCCTTCTCTGCCTCTCCTGGGCTGTTCCCCCCTCCGCCATCGCCCAGCCGGGGCAGCGCTGCCCTGCCTCCTCCGGCCTGCAGCGCCGAGCTCCCCGGGCCCGCTCGGGCAGGGCTGGCGCGGAGCCGGTGCCGCGCTGCAGTGGAGCCGCCATGGCCCGATGAGGTGTTACATGTGGCGTCTTTATTTTTTTCTTTTTTTTTCTTTTTTCTTTTTTCTTTTTTTTTTTTTTTTCCTCCTTCTGATTTGGTTTTTTTTTTGGTGGGATTTTTTTTTTTTTCCCCCGAGCAGCTTCTGCTGCAGCTCGCTTTGAGTGGAGGCTGAGGGTTATCTCGGAACTTCACAAGCCTCGCTGTGCTCTGCGGAAAATTGCAGCTTGTGCTCACTGCAGACCCAAGAGTAGGTGAGCCAGGAAAGCCTGGCTTGAGCAACCACTTCAGAGGGCAGGACAGGGAGGAAAAGCAAACACTGTAGAGAGGTGGCCTCCCTGGTAAGGCTAGAGCAGGACCGTCCTGCGGACTCTGAGGGAGGGAGAAGGTAAGTGGCTGCTTGGCAGAGGCTGTCTGCGGGAGCGGCATGTGCCGGGCAGGGTGCGCCCTGCCCGCAGCTCCTGCGGCTCAGCACCAGCCGCTCCGTGGGTTTGTACAACCTGTGCTGTGGTATGTGCCGAGGCTCAGGGCTGTTTCCCTGCGAGGGAGCAGGGTGCTGCCGCGAAGGAGGCACCGCAGCCCGCGCCTTTCGCAACAACTGCGCTCATCGCTCCATTCCTCGCTCCCCCCCTCGCTCCTCACCGGGTCAGCCTCTATGTCGAGAACAAGCGACAAACCGTCCGCACAAAACAGAACACGTTCCCATGGAGGGGGAGAAAACCAAACAAACCAACAACAAAACCAAAGCTCTTCCGCAGTGCCAGGCTGGCGTTGTTAGCGCTGCGAGCCCTGTCGGGGGCTGCGGCGCTCGGAGCCGGGGCCGCCCGAGCCGCCGCTCGGTCCCTGCCCGGCCGGGAGCGCCGGGCCCGCGCTGGAGCCAGCCCTGAGCACCCGGCCCGGGTCACGGCGGCTCCCTGTGACCGTCTGCTGGCAAAATCGGAAGGAACGGTGACGTTGTTCTTAGCTGAACACCATTAAAATGCTCCTCTGGTATCTCTCAATAGAGGTGAAAGGCATTTCAGCTTCCTGGAAATGGCCGAAAGAGGCGACGTGTAGATCAAAGTACGGCGCAGAGCTGGGCTCGTGTTTGCAGGGGTTTTTGAACTGTAGTGAAAACGTTTCTGCAGCTTGCATCGTAATGAGTTAAGTCAGCACGTGAAGCGACTAAAAAAGGCATATTTAAACAGCATCGGGCTATTAACTTTCCTGGGATTTAAGATTTATGTTTAAATATATATTTGGCTGTTAGCAATACCAGCATTTAAACCGTAACGTTGATATGTTCAACCCTGAAGCAAACCAGCTCTGCCTAACGCAGCTTTGAAGCGACACAGCCAGACCATAATACTGTGGGAGCTTAGACAGCTTTGTCTGTACTTGCATCTCTCTGCATATTTTTCCAGGACTCTGATCTTTGTCTGCGATTAATCATTGTCCAGGACGGCTGTTCCCGGTGGTAGAATCCGTGAAGTGCTGCAGCTGGGAGAGGTCCTAACGCGTGTGCCTGGCGCTGCGTACGTGCAAACCAGGGCCAGAAATTGCTGGGGCAGCAGGCGCTGGACAGCGAGCCTGCCGTGCCGCCCCAGTGAGTTGTGTGAGTCCTCAGCACTTCTGGAAGTTGTTTTTGTAAGTCTGAGCCGAAAATTTCTTTCCGTTTTTTAGAGTTTCTAAATGACTATAATGTTCAGTGTAGTTTAAAAGTCGCCAAGGCAGTTGAGACCAGTTGTGCTCTCAGAGTGGGTGGTTTCATGGCTGAACCTCGTATCTGAAAAGCGAAATGTTCTGGTACAGCGTGTTTAAATCCCAGAAAGGTCAAACCAGACTTTCATACTTGAGTTAGATTGACCCTGGTTTGCTGCGTGAGACTCTTTAGATAAAGAGATCTTTCAGGGAAAGGCGGGGGGGAAAGATTTTTTTTCTCTGAACAGCTTGTGGTGACTCTGTGCACATTCTTGAAGCAAAGGAGTTTGTTCTTGCCCACAGCGTCCCTGCCTGGCATTGTTGAGTGGAAAACTCTTATCCTAATTATATCACTGTCTGTTATCAATAAGAAGTGATTTAATTTCTTTGGCAAAGTGTTGCAACAAGAGCAAATTAGATTGAGAGGCAAAGTGAAATAAAAAATATGCAGCTGTTCTGCCAAACAATGATCCTGACTGTTTACAACATTTTGTTTTAGACTGCCTTGTACACAGAATCCTTTATATTGAAGGTTTTCAAGTCACAATCCACTGCTTGTGCAGGGAAACTGGGTTAATAGATTATAAAAGACAAAAAAGACCAAGGTTCATCTGGTTCAACTTCCTGCATTATGCAGGTCTCTTGATTTTTATGAATTTTTGGCTTTTTCCCATTTGAAAGAATTTAACTGCAGCATAGCTGCAGCTTAGATAAAGATCAGATTTTCATTTTCAAATGGGCTGTGAAAGGGAGTAAAATAAGGGTAAATTGTTTCCATCAAAAATCTGCCTGACAGACTAGAAATCAAAGTACCTTTTTAAACTTGTCTAGTTTCTGCTTTCAGTTTCTGGATGTGTCTGTCCCTCAGTCTCCTTGGCAGAGGAATGCTCCATGACCAGATTTCCATCCCCTCATAGCTGTGTGCAAGCTGAGCATTTAAACACTCCGTTGCAGGCTGCAGAGCTCCCCCTCGGGTCCATCTCTACTAATCCTGTAATTGTTCCTGCTCCCGTTTGTCACCATTTTGATCCGGGCAGAAGGGGACAGAGCCATGGGCAGTGACCATGCCCGAGCCAACAGCCCTCCTGGCTCAGATGTGTCTGTCAGGCATCCAGGGATTACTCCAGCCCATGTTCAGCTGGTTTCCCAGCATGGCACCTAAAATGCTCTCAGATCTGCTCCTCAGGATGACAACCCTGTACTGCAGAATTGTGCTCTTTGTTTTGCATGTATGGCTTTACTCTGGTCCTCTTAGGCAGTGTTGTTGCTTGCAATGGCCTTTTTAAATTATTATTTTTATTTGATACTCCCTTCTGATACTGCTTAGTGTCACCTACAAACTGGTTATGAATTTATGTTTTCTTCCAGATAAACAGCCTATCTGCACTGTGGGTGTTTCCTGGTTCGGGGTGTGTGTACACACACCTCAGCAGTGTCAATATTGTGTCAGGAGGAGGTCTGGTTCCACACCATCCCTTGCCACACCCCAGTTGCATGGGAAGAAAGCCCGGTTTAGGAGCTGGAAGGGAGCCAGAGGCACACTGCAACACTTGCCTGCCCTGGTGTCTATTATGTAGCCATGAAATAATGCCGAGCAAAAAACAGGTGGTTGCAGGACCCATAAAAGAAAGATGAGAGGTCTGGGGCAGGGTGGTTACAAAGTACATTTTGAGACCTTCCTGTTAGATGGGGTTTTTTTTAGACGGGATGCCTCACTACATACTCTGTATCCAGCTGTTCATTCAAGACCTAAATACATTAGGGACTTCTTCCCCCTGCCAAATTTGAGATTGGAGGAAGGAGGGGGGGAAATGACATAGAACAACACAGTCACATTAGACAGTTTTATTTTTAGGAAACCAGGCTAAGAATATCAAAGGAATATTGAATAGGAATATGGACAGGGTATTTGCCTGTCCAGATTTTCTTGCCATGAAAATTTTCATTCCTTCCTAAGAACAGCAGATGATCTGTCTAGGGAATTGTCAGCCAAAATAAGCAACCTGCTGACAGATTTCACCTGTGTCCCAGCATGCTCTGAGGATGCATGGGATGTCAGCCTTGAACAATGACAGGGAATCACTAGGCTGTGTTGTTTGGCTGCCGGGGTGCAGAGATGCATGGTGACACCCAACAGTGGAACAAACATTTACTGTGTTTAAAATCCAGACAAATTTTGATGGATATGTTGGCTATTTGCTGTAGCTTGGGGGGAGGGGGGTGTGTGTATTACTTTTTAAACTGTGATCATATTATTTCTGCAAGTATTATGACAAAGCCACCTCTGTAAGGTAGGGAGTGAGTGCTTTCAGAGATCTAATCTTTCTCGAGCTATAAAGGAATAAAGAAGCTGTTTCAACACCTGACTTGCAGAATGTTTTGTGTTGCTTCTTGCCTATTGAAATACTGCTGCCATTGAAATGCTGTGATCCTATCAGGATGTAGAACTGGTTATTTTTTAGAATGCTTTCAAGCTTATAAAATCATGAAATAAATCAAGACGGCTGGCAATTCTAATCAGCATTCTAAAGCCATCGAATTACAAAACAGTTCAGTGCTTCATGGCCCCTGAACAGTACAGTTTCACAAAAATAAAAGAGAAAGAATGAAAAGAATGTACCATTTAAAGATGCCGGGCACTTACAAAGCTTGCATCAGAAGGAAATGAAGATACAAATAAGTAATCTAAAAGGATATTTATGCATTAAATTACTTTTGTCTCTGGACACTTCATTAAACAGTCTGGATATGATGGTAGCTGGGGACCTGGGAGCCATTTTAACACATGCAGCACATGCAAGAAACATTCTGATTATAAGTGATAGAGTATAAAACGCTGCAGCCAGAAACCGATGGCAAAGATCAAATGGAATGAGTTCAGCTTACAAATGAGAGCAGTGTCTTCCCACTGGTGCGATGCGACACGAGACCAGGACTTTGTTTCGCCCTTGACATTGCCACCACTGCTCTCAATCCTGCAGTTAAGGATTTGCATCTTGATTTATTGTTTGACAGGACAGTGGGGAGTGCCCCAGCTGGTCCCCCGAGCCCTGGGTTGCAGCCGAGTGTGCCCGAAGGCGCCGGCTCGGTGAAGGCTGAGCCGTCCATGGCTCCCTGCTCCAGCAGCTCGCAGTTGCTAAGCAGCTGCACAGTCTCTGCCCGTGCTGTACGAGGGCAGCAGCACGGCTTCCCCTTGATCGCTGGAGAGGAGCCGGCAGCATGGAAACGGGAGCAGTGGCCATGGCAAAATCGCTCTCTTCCTGGCTGGCTCACGGAGCCGCTGGCAAAAAGGCTGGAGCGGGGAGAAGGGACACTCGGTGGAGCAGGGGGTGGCAGGAGGGCCGGGAAGAGCCAGCATATGTGCACAGCAGAGGTTACAAAGACAGCAGATCCTGGCAGAGCAGGGGGCACACACCGAGGAGAAAGGAATGGGAGAGAGGCCAAAGGCACAGTTCAGAATTAAAAAAAAAACAAAAACAAAAAAAAAACAGGAGGAGAGTGTGGCATATGGAGAGGGGAAATAAAGCAGAACTAGCACAGCCTGCGAATAATTGAATTGAAAATCCAGGAAGAGAGAAGGAGCTTGATTCATTACTGCCCTTCACCTTGTGGAGACAGCTACACCCAGGAAGAGGAGGCGTGGAGTACAACAGCATCCTTCATGTTTCACAGTGAACTGTAGGTTTTACATTTCAACCCCTGCCATTTGTGGTTTTCTCCTTTCATAGCCCATGCCTTTTGTTCAGACTTGACTTCTGCAGGCTCTCTTCTTATCTTTGTCTACTTTCTGAGTTATTTTTGAACTTGCTTTAGCTTTTTTTTTCTTCTTTATTTTTTTAGGTAAGTTTTAAATTAAAATACCTTTTCCAGATATTTTAGTTGTTTTAACCTTCAAGAGGGCAGGCCATTGCTAGTTTCTAACTGGAGTTAGTTTCCACTAAACCCACACAGCCCTTGCTGCATTTCTGTCTCTCTCCTGGGAGCTGCTGAAGCAGGACAGGGCTCTCTTTGCTTCCTGACACCTTCCTCTGCACATTGTCTTTCCCTTTCCCTGGGCAGTGCCTGCCAGCAGTCCGGAAGGACTCGCAGTTAGCAGCGTGCAGGAAGAGGTTCCTGTGGCAGTAAATTATCACAAGCGCCTGACGTGTTGCATAAAGGGGAATGAAAAAAGTGCCACAAACATCTGCAGGGGGTTCTGACCAAAAGGAACCCTTAGTTCCACCAGCACTGCCCACATGAAAAAGCACTTCATGGTGTCGGTGCCTAACGTGCAATTGGCTGTGGAATAGGAAATGCCAGTGGAGCTGGCAGGGAAGCAGGAAAGCTGGACATTCCTCCAGGCACAGGACTGAGGGGCACAGCTTGTACAGCAGGGTGGGGAGGAATTTAAGCTCGTGCAGCTGTTGCTCTGCTGTGACCAGCCCAGGCTTGCTTGGAGGCCTTTCGACTGAGAACACTTTTTCCCAGGTCCAAAATTGAGTCCTAAAAGGAAAATGGAGGTGCCCACTCAGACTTACAATGAAAATTATTTGCTGTGGATGCTGTGTGTGTAGTTCAAGCCGATAACATGCTTGACAAATACACAGCCAGGTGTGTCCTGTACTTAGAAAATTTTTGTCTGAGATGTCTGATTCATGGGGATGCTGCATTTGCTTCCTTCTTCCATTTGCCTGGAGCCCTGATCTTTGAACAGGCACTGTGTGTACTACTGTTAGACTCCCAAGACCATTAAAGGTCTTGGGACACTGACATTTTACAAGCAGATCCAGCTGCCATTCACACAGGGACATTTTTAGCCTTATGAGAGATCTAAGTTTAATTAGAACAGTTTTAACCAGGCAATCTCCCCAGCTCAAGAAATCAGAGCTACTATGTTAATCTCAGGTAAGCAATGAGGAACTTGACAATGTGCCTGTTGTTGCAGGAGATTCAGGAAGGGTGAGATGTGTGTAAGAAGGGTGAAACACACAGGAAATGTGCCATCAAGGACAGAGGTGTGGAGCAGGGCAGGGCAGTGGTGTGGAGCAGGGCAGGGCAGTGTGCCAGACCCAGCACTGTCAGCTTGTTGCTCTCTGTGCCTGCCCTCACCACCCCACACCACTGCTTGAACACCTTCCTGACCCGCTCTGGTGACTCTCAGTGAGGACATCCAGCCAGGCCACTCTGCACTGTCAGCTCCCACAAACCAGGCACAAGCCAAGAATCACAGCTCTAAAGCAAACATCACTCAATTACAACCTGGTTTTATTTCCAGCGCCTCAAGTTATTAATTAACCTGCTCTGAGCATCGCTGTTCCTGTCAGGGTTTGCTCTGGCCATGTTATGGCTGCTCTCAGGTCTGAGAAATATTCAGTCTGGGCCTGTGCCCTGCCTGCCCATGCTCTGACAAGCCACAAGCTCCTCTGGCTCCTGCCAAACCTCCACCTCTATGAATGAACATCTTGCCAGCCAGCCAATGACAGAGCAAGCACTTCCCACTTAGCTTTACCCATACATCCAGCATTCCACAAAAAACAGGCAGAAATGTTGGTGTCCCCCATATAAATAGAGGATTTCATAATCTCTTCAGTCTGTCATTGCTGCCTTCCTGTAGGAAGTTTGCACAGATATCAGAGGGGAGGATGCAAACTTCGCATTAATGTCAGTGCTATGCATTACTCAGCAGAAACATGGCCCTACTTCATCCATAGTCCATTCTCTTATAGCCTACTTCACCAGCTTTTATTCTGCCTCTATGAACATTCCCAGTTTCCCCACATCCTTGTCCAAAAGGTTTGAAACCTTCCTGCCTGGGCCAAGTGCAAGAGTGCAGGAATGAGTTGTTGATCAAAGCCTGACTCATGACTCTGTAAAACACACTCTTGTTCAGGCTGCACTGTAGCTCACATAGAGAAAAGCATATTTAGGAAGCCAAACCTGGGTTCATTTAAAGTTGATGTTCTCTACAGCCACACAAAAAAAAGTACTACTCCACATATTTCAGGTTTAGAGGAGCCTTCCAACAGAATTTTGGGGAATGTAACCCAGATTTGGCAATCCCAAATTGAGTCTGAGTTGACTCACCCATTCCATATTAATCCCTGTGTGCAAGCTAAAGCAGCTGAATGCAACTCCTCCCCTGGTACTATGGTCATCTTAATTAACACACACTCCTCTTGGGTTCTGAACTAGCAACTACATGAAAAGAAAATATCTCTATCCACAAGGAATTACATAATTTGGGAACAAGAGAAGGGAAAAGTGATCTGAAGGAAGCAGATAGTGCAGAGAGTGTTCCAATTTTGAAAAAAATAACATCTTCATGCTTTCTGGGTTAAGTGGAATGTTGGGTAATGAAAACACAGGAAGGCCTAAGCCAGAGGGATTTTAGAGGTTGTACTAAAGGGATTGGTTGGATACTGGCTAAGAACACATTGTGTTGCAAGCAAAGCTGTTTGTAACCCTTTTCCCTAAATTTCCTCAAATTACTTCCTGATGGGATGTGTTCTCTGCTGCAGATCTGGATGCAGAAGATCATCTGATGGTGACTAATTTCACACAGATCTGTAGCAGAGCCCTGATCTCTGTCAGCCTCGAGCAAGGCTGTGCCTCACTCCTGAACCCGCTGCTTCTGCCTCTTCCCATGGCAAACACAGCTGCAGATCTCACCTGGAGTGAGGTGTTCTGAATCCCTCTTTACACCAAACCCCCAGATTGCCTTCCCAGCACAGAGGCAGGGGATGAGATCCAGCATTGCTGTGATAGCTCTGCCAGCCTGTGACAAAATTCCTGCCCATGGCTCAGGGAAGCCATGCCAGCACATCTGGGAGACACCTCCACAGATCCATGGGGGCAGAGCTGTGGAGGTGTTGGCAGACACTTGCCTGTTCATTTCATGCTTATCAGAGATCACTCGTTGTGTTTGATGTTCCAGAAAAGCATAGGATGATCCTAACCTTGAGTTACCCATTTTTCACAACAGAATTTGGCTTGAGAGTTCACACTTTAGTGAGCAACAGAAACTTGAAACTGCCTCTAAGCACCTACTGTATCAGGATGAGACGTTACCACGTTGATTTACTTCAGGTTTGTAAAATGGGGTGGTTTTCCCCCACAACTGCAAAGCTAAGAACTCAGTTTCTAATGAAAGACGAAATTCAAAACACAACATGTTGGCCATGCGTGTATCAAGTAGGCCATATTTGGCCCACAGAGTTGGGCCTGATTTAAAGAATACCAGAGAAAATAACCAAGAAACAGTTTGTGTTCCCTATAAATAGCTGCTCACCAGGTAGTCGTCTGTGTGTGGTTTAGGAATAAAGTTTGTCCCAACTATATCAGAGTGCCTGAATATTCTCTGCCTGATTTTGCTGAGTTGTGTGTA